CTTTATAATGGAGAAGGAAAATGAAAACCTGAACACATATTATTTGTTCAATAAACAAAATGAGAGTTCCAAAAAAATTGTGATCATTTCTTTTTGAATCATCCCCACTTTAGTATTTCAGACACCTATTCAGGAAAGAAGAATACCATGTCTCATTCAGAAAAAGAAAAAAAAATCCCTTAAATCTAAATAAATAGTGCATGAACACGTCATGAGCTGAAATGGGTTCACATAAATTAGTATTGAACAATTCCAGACAAGAAATAAGCATGCAAGAAATTCAGTGTGATTTGCAAATTATTTGAGAACAGGAAAAGAGCAGCCAAATACATGGGATAACTGATTAATTGTAATTAGAACGTGGGTCCCTGGTCATGCATAGCAAATTTCCCACTGATTTGATTTCACTGAAAATAGGGTTTGGTCCCTGTTAATGAAATCTCTCCTCAAGTCAATTGATTTTTACTTCTCCTAAGGAAAATATTTGTTTCAGTTCAGCAATAAAAACTGTCCCCATTAACTAAAAAGCTTCATAAAAATGCACATTATTTCTGTAAAAAGCAAGAAAAAGAGATGTTTCTACGGACCTATTGCTGTCTGACAAAAGTATTTGGGTTTTTGCTAGCATAACAGAAATGGGCATGGCAGAAGCAAATGCCCCAAATAAATTCATATTGATGGGAAATAATAGCTTTGCATCAACATACCCAAGGGTGTGTACTTATAACAATCTCTTTCTCAATTAGAGCAGCAAACCAGTAGCAGAAGTGGATTTTTCAAGAAAATCCATATTTTTTCTACATGGCTTGATAGGTGGATCAGCTGCCAGAGCAGGTGAACTTCAGTGTGGCAATTGTAAAGAAATAGTAAAGAAAAGAATCTAACCTGAATGTACCAAAATGGCGCCAAAATTCAGATGTTTCCCTACAAATTATCTAATTCAGAGGTATTTTCACCTTATTTGCCTCATTGCTGAATAAGTCATACAAGAGTTTTGCCAGGAATTTTGGGTTGCACGAGGTCAAATGAGACTCACAGGTTAGAGAGAACAAATATTGGAAATTGCTCATGTTAAATCTGAGATTAAAAATTACTTGCTGCTTCCTAACTGTGAGCAAACGGAAATTAAATAAGCAGAAACAAACCAAAGGAAATGCTGCTGGGTTAAAAGCAGTAAGTTACTAATTTTCCAGCTTTAAAAATGAAAGATTTTTTTTTTTTTTGTAACAAATTGGAGGCAGAATATTTCCTCAGTTTTGGATCAAGGAATTAACAACCTGAAGATATATTAATTGTCCAAATGTTATGAGATAATTGTTGAATTATTCAGGAATCATCAAGGAATCATCATTAGGAGGCTGACACAGTTTAAACTGATTATTTGCAGAGTTGAAGAGGCAGAACTCAGAGCTGGGGCACTTTGATTTCTCACAAGAAGCACAAAAGGGGAAAAGTGTATTAAAACTGAAATTTTCTCAGAGAATTTAGGAGAGGCAAAAAATTGTGTGGCTAAAAGTGAAGTGCACTGGAGCAATATAGTGCAAAGAACAATATTGCAGAGCTCTGATGAGTGTCACAGACAGTCAGGCTTGTAGTAAATAAATGTTATTAGGCTGCCACAATTACAGCATCTTCCTGTTTTCAGGCTGGTTGAGCCATCTGGCATGGGCATCCAGATAAAAGTTATGCAATTATTAAAACAAGCTAAATTAAATTAACTTAAATTAATCACAGTGTAGGAAAATAACTGGCCAGAAGCATTGAATCACAGTTGTTTTGAACATTATGACCTATTTTTCTGTTTTTCCTGGGCTTTCTCTAATTATGAGATAACATGTTGTCTTTGAAACCAGTGGCAGAAGTCCAGCTGAGTGAAAAGAAAGATGTGCACAGGGTAATATCTCCCTTGTACTCCACCAGTGTGACATGCACAATGAACAACAAGCACCTAATGAGGGGCACAAATAAGGTTTTTTATTTCTCTCTTTAGGATGTGAAGATATCAAATTGGAGGAAATTGTTTGCCAAGCTTTTTTGGGAAGATCCAAAAGACTTTTTTGTTCCCCTAAAGTTCTTCAAAGGGTTCATAAGAAGGTGGTTTTTACTTAGATGTTTCCAAGATGATTGTTTAAATTCTTTATTTGCCACAAATTTAGGGGGTTTCTTACAAATTCAGCCAATGTTTTGGTGACAATGTGCTTAAAAAACAGTGTAAAATATGACTAAGTGAAAATGGCTTGGCTTAAAGTGCTGAAGAAATTGGGAAAGCGTTCAGCCAGCAGGCTCCCAGAGCTGCTGGGAATAAGAGCAGTTGAGAAGGAGAATCCCAAGAAGGAGAATCCTGAAGAATTTCTTTCTGTATTTACCAAATCTGCTTGCTGGTACAAGGAGGGAGAAGCCAGCACCTTGCTGCTGGTTTCTCAGGGGCAGCCTGGATCCAGATTTAGGGAGATGCTCATTTCCTGCTGATCCAGGTTTATGGACATGCTCGTATCCTGGTTCCAGGTTTAGGGAGATGCTTGTGTCCTGGCTCCAGATTAGGGAGATGCTCCTGTCCTGCTGATCCAGGTTTAGGGGCATGTTTGTGTCCTGGCTCCAGGTTTAGGGACGTGCTCATGTCCTGGCTCCAGGTTTAGGGACGTGCTCATGTCTTGGTTCCAGGTTTAGGAAGATGCTCATGTCCTGTTGATCCAGGTTGAGGGAGATGCTTATTTCCTGCTGATCCAGGTTTATGGACATGTTCGTATCCTGGTTCCAGGTTTAGGGACATGTTCGTATCCTGGTTCCAGGTTTAGGGACATGTTTGTGTCCTGGCTCCAGGTTTAGGGATGTGCTCATGCCTTGGCTCCAGGTTTAGGGAGATGTTCATTTCCTGTTGATCCAGGTTGAGGGAGATGCTCATGTCCTGGCTCCAGGTTTAGGGAGATGCTTGTGTCCTTCTGATCCAGGTTTAGGGACATCTTTGTGTCTTGGCTCCAGGTTTGGGACATGCTCATGTCTTGTTGATCCAGGTTTAGAGACATGCTCATGTCCTGGCTCCAGGTTTAGGGAGATCTCATTTCCTGCTGACCCAGGTTGAGGGGCGTGCTCATGTCCTTGGCTACAGGTTTAGGGAGATGTTTGTGTCCTGCTGATCCAGGTTTAGGGACATGTTTGTGTCCTGGTTCCAGGTTTAGGGACATGTTTGTGTCCTGCTGATCCAGGTTTAGGGAGATGTTTGTGTCCTGGCTCCAGGTTTAGAGACATGTTCATGTCCTGGTTCCAGGTTTAGGGAGATGTTTGTGTCCTGGCTCCAGGTTTAGGGACATGTTTGTGTCCTGGATCCAGGTTTAGGGACGTGCTCGTGTCCTGGTTCCAGGTTTAGGGACGTGCTCGTGTCCTGGATCCAGGTTTAGGGACATGCTCGTGTCCTGGCTCCAGGTTAGGGAGATGCTCCTGTCCTGTTGATCCAGATTTAGGGACATGCCTGTGTCCTGACTCCAGGTTAGGGAGATGCTCATGTGGAAATTTCCGTTTAAAAATCAAGCCTAAACTTGCTGCTCATCACCAACATAACAAAATTAAATTGCAGAGGTGTAACAGCTGTAGGGAAACCCAGCTGTGATACATGTGATTTGGGCCACTGTGAAATAAAATGTTAGACAGAGGGGATTCTAGAGCTGTAATTAGATTTCAAGCATAAGGAGCTGCAATTTTACGAATTTCTTCCCCTTCCAAATTGCAGAAAAATCCTTTGGAGTAAAGCTGATTATCAACATACCAGTCTACAGAAATGAAAATTAATAAATTACTTGCCCAAAATGACGGAAACCTTTACAATAGGAATCCTATCTGTAATAGCATTGTTATTACCATCATAATTGCTACAATAATTTTTCTTTTACAATCTCATAACTCTGTTTCTCATATGGGCATTTAATTCAGATTCTCTTTCAATTAAATATCATTCTTCTTATGTCTAGGCCTCAGTAGATTTGCCTGAAATATTTTCTTTTGTAAGTTAAGTTCTCCCTTTCTGAGCATGTAATTGATCCATGGCTATCTGTTGGGGAGAGGGATTAGGAGTCTGGAGGTGTGATCTTCCTTGGCCTTCTTGTTTGGGATTTGTGAAATTAAGAAAAGCACCACAAAAAAAACCACACACACACACAAAAGCAGTACAGTGGCCTTCACATTTCTTTGAGTCATTGATTTTGCAAAAGACATGGACTAAATGTAAACCTAACTCATTTATTTTTCCACAAACAAGGTTTCAGATCTTCAGCTGGAAGTCCCTAGAAGTGCTAATTATTTTTATTCCCGTTTTTCTTTATAAACAATCCTGCTGAACAATCAAACACTGCAGCCTTTTATAACTTTTTTAATCTGATTAGCTCCACTAGGATTAAACTTATTTTAAAATATACATGAAAGACAGCAGTTATTAGGAAAAGCCTTAGAGATTCCTCTTGACAGTGAGGAGCAGAGGGTTAAAATCAGCTATTTGGAAATTCCTGCCTAAAAAACACCCACCAGACACTCAAGTGCCTGGGTGTGTGTGCCAGGGTCAGCCACCTGCATTTGTCAGCTAATAAACCCCTGCACAAATTCCTGATTTATATTCATACCTCGAGGTTTGGACACACAAAAAGTGGCAAGGGCAGATCCCTGGGAACAATTTCGTTTGCCTCACTTAGAAAATGTGGATCTCTGTGTATATTTTGAGAAAGAGCCCATCTTCCTCTTTCCTCCTGAGTGATTAATGCTGCAATGACCAAGTTAGACAGGAAGCACAGGGAAAACAGGTGAACATTTAAAAGGAGGCAAGAGAGAGAGGGGAGTTCCCATCAGATGATTAATCAGACAAATGGGTTATTTGGAGAGAACTGTTTGCATGCAGCTGAGTTTTCTAAGATGTAATGAAGTAATTGCATTATGAAAATAATCAGCTGCTCTGCATTCTGATCATTAGATGCTGATGATATAATTGTGGTATAATGAAAAGCAGTCTGGTGATTATTCCATAGAGAAGTTCTCTGTAGATAATATTCAAATTTACTTTATTTTGGCATCTTTTCAAAGGAGCAGGAAGTACAATATAAACAGCTGGATGGTGAGGTAATGTTGTTAGAACTTCTGAAATATGTCCCCTTTTTAAACTATAATCTTGAAAAAGTTCTCTGAGCTTATCTGCATAATGCCAACTGAACTTGTTTGTGTTTTATGGCAGCTCATTAAGTAACTTTGTTCTCTATTTCCATTGGGAACCAGCAGTTGTTTTTTGGGTTTTTTTTCCCCTCTGAATAATTAATTAGAAAACATCCTGAAGCCATACAGAATCAATTCTCTTATATCCTGAATTATATTTTACCACTTTCTCTCTTTTTCTGATACACTGTGATAAATCCCAACATCGTGTATGACAGGTGACTGACATTTATGGCCATTTACAGGGTACAGCACCAGTCTGATCTTCCTCCAGATGTAATTCCACTGCTGTTTGAAAGCCAGGACACTGGATTTTCTCAAGTTAATCATTGATCTCCAAATCAGGCACCTGGTATCTAAATTGGGATTGCCTTCCCAATTTTTTGACTTGAGTCAAGCCACTGGGCTTTGATGGGACAAACAGCTCTAAGCAGAAATCTGCTTTCCTCCTGAATATCTGGCAAGTCGTGAGGAAATTAATCTCCTGGCCAAATAAGAAATCCAAGTTATTTTGCTGTCTTGTTAAAAGTTGTGTATTTTTCTGCTATCACCGCTGTATTTGAATGCACCTTGAACAGTAAAATGTAGTTTTATGCTCTGCTGGCTATATTGCTTGCAGGGAAATGTCTGGGCTACAACACGGGCTAATCTTTGACTGGTAACAAGCTCTTTGTTTTCTACTCACAGTTTCTTCATTATCCTTCCCCAGACAAATGTGTAACTGCAGCCCTGTGTGATGGGGAATAGTGGTGAGAAAGCAGAGTTGAACATCGTGCTACTCGGTAAGACCCATTAGCTTCCCTTTGTCATAAACAAGCATTTCCAACCTCAGAGTTTCCCAGCTGATTTAAATCCCCTCCCTGCCTTTCTATCCATGATACACATGGCTGTTTTTTGAATTTGTTCTCTAATGCAAAGAGGAAAAAATTGCCAATTCAGTGTGGTGCGAAGCCAGCCAAGTCTAGTAGCAGGAATGGGTAGAGGAGGTGGAAAGGGAAATAGGGAGTGTTGAACAGGGGATCCTGAGATCTTGATAAATATCCTCCTGCTGTATGGAAAAAATTGCTAAATACAATGTTCTTGAGTTGATGTTGTCTTGAGTTCTTAAATAATATTTTTTTTGTAGTTACAGCCTTGCATAGCCAAGCCTGCACTGTTTGAGAGGTCTCTGTGCTCTCTGTTCAGTTTGTGCTTGTTCCACTTAGACCTGTTGTAAAAGCAGAGTAATCAAATGATTGTAGCTCTTAATGCACAAAAAACAGCTCCATCTTCTCTGCTTCTCAGGGCTTCAAAAAATATGTTCACAACTTCACTGCCACACCTGTGATGCACTGAATCAAGTGAAAAGGCTGGAATAAAATGCTCTGTTTCATTTGATGATGTTTTAACAGGGGAAGTAGAAGCCCACACCTCTCATTGACTCTAATTAGAACAGCACATAATTGGCAGGGCTGAAAGTAAAGCACTAAAAAAGCCCACAGATGTTTCTTGTTGTCTCAGAAATCTAAAAGAAGGGGGGAGGAAAAGGCAGGACCAGAACTTGAAAGGGATATGTAAGCTTTTGAAAGATGCTTAGTTGCTTAATTCTAAATTGATTTAGTAAAACTTAAGCACCTGTACCTTAAAGCTGTACATATGTATTTATTTCTCATATCTATATTGAGACAATAACTCAATTTTAGACCTTTGGAGCCAGAATTCCATTTCCTGCTTTAACTACTAAGTGTCACTGCCAGGTGGAAAGAGGTAGAAAAAGACAACAGGACAGAAAAATATTGCTGTGCTCCAGCCTTTGCATTTCAGCCAACACAGGGAACTTCAGAGTCCAAATGCACTAAAGCTGGAGTTGATATATCTTGGTCTATTGGCCTGTGGATCTGATTGCTGACTTGCTTTTCCTGGCTTTCCTGCAGCAAGGGTCTCCAAATGGCATTGTTACTCCAAAGTGCTGTAACGAGGAGTAACGACCGTGACTCCCTCCTCATTACCTTTCCTTACAGGGAGCTGGATTTTTCTTGTAACTGCAAGGTAAGTTTCTCAGATGCTGCTTTTTCAGTGCTTTTTATTTTACTGCAGTAATCAAAGAGAAAAATCATTTCTTTGACAGGTTATGTGAATCCAACAGAGAAATGCCTGAGGGAGACTTTGGGAATTTGCTGGCTGTGTATTCTGCTGGCAGCAGACGGGAAGGATGGGGATGATTCCTGCACTTTTGATGGGTTGTGCTGTCTCCAGATATTGCAGAATCATTGAGGCTGTAGAACTTCCACCTGGAGCTCGTAAAAATGTTGGGCGCAAGCAGCATTTCTGTCTAAAATTTACCACGTTGAAGCAGGCACTGAATTAACTTCTTTTGTTTCCTCTTTAAATGCTGCCAAGGAGAAAATTGCTACAGGGTTTTTTTTTTCCTCACTACCACCCTCCAGTCCATCTAGGACACAAATGGAAGCTCTGGATATGTGGGTCTTGTGGATAAACAGAATAATTTTTTGTAGCTTTTCGCTGGTGTATAAATGGATTTATTAAATAGTGTGAAGTAAGAGAATTTCATCACTTTTACTTTGTATTGAGCAAAGAGAAGGAAATCTGTGAATGTCCAAATGGCACTGTCAGATGAATCATGGATACAAATGTGGTGGGGGAAAAGTCCTGGGAAATGTCAGAGCTGCTGACAGGATGTGATAAAGACAGGTTGTACCTCTGTCACTGATTACACCTATGAGAAATCCTCAGAGAAACTATAGCAGAACATCTCTATTTAAGTATTGTAAGAACAGAGCTCTGCTAACAGCTATGCTTGGCTATATTATTATTACATTTACTCTTGGGGTAGCACAGCTGATAATATTAAAAATAATAGTCAAAAATATTAAAAATTCAAACCCTACACATCAGCCCAGCTATTTTCTGCTTCCTCCTGTGCCCACTGTGCTAAGCAAATCACAGGTATAGTTAAATAAAGCAATCCTACCCATTCTTACTCCTAATTCACACAGTTTAAACATTCTGCAGAGCAGGGTGATGGTAACAGATGGATTGTTACAGTGTGTGCCATGAATACCTAGGAAGAATGGAAAGTATTTTGTATCAATATTGTGATTGGGAAGTAAAAATCCTTGTGAAGACTCGTTCCTGTGAGTAAGCAGAATAGTCTGGTGGTGTAAACTGGTGGAGTGGTGGGGAACAGCAAAATAATCATCCCCTGTAATGGGATAACTACCTCCAACAAATCCATTTCCATAGGCAGGCGATTCTGATTTGTAAATAGCACACCAGCTAAATTAAGGGAAATATTAATGGCTCACAGATCAAAACTTTAGAGAGGAAATTTTTAGTGCTTGGTGCACTTTTGCAGCCAATCTAAATAAGGTGTTGGGGGAAGTTTTGAATGACCTTAAATTAGGATCGTTTAAGGGAAGCCCTTGCAGTTCAGACTAATCTTGCTCATAATGCATTATGCATGTCCTTGGTCTCTGCCATAATGTCATAATTTCCTCTGGTAATTATAACCAGTTTCTGTGTAGTGAGACTCCCTATCTACAAAGCCTCATGTTTCACACCTCATTTTATGCTCTCCTGCTGAAAGCAGTTCTCTACTGCAATTGGATTGTCACTGCATGTCCCACCCATGCTGAACATGGTGAGTTATGGCCCATTTCCTCCTTTCCCCTGTCCTAATTGAAAATCAGCCAATTTTTACTGCTTCTAACACACACATTGCTCAGAGCTGCAACATTTTGGTCTTTGTTGACCACTTTCATTGAGCCCAAGAGTTGTGA